GTCTTGTTTTTTGTAGCAACATATTTTTCTATTTCATATTTCTTTTGCATCGTTATTCTTTCTTTTCCCACTCTTTGACCTATTATGCAAAAATTGATTTCCTTTCCTGACTTATCTTTATCTCTTTATAAAATCTCTTCATCAATTTTGAGAATATTCATTGAACTACACCTTGTTATTTTCATTGTTATTCATTCTTTTCCCACTCTGACTTATTAAGAAAAAGAAAAAAAACTTTTCCGACCTGTCCTCTAATTCAAGGTAGCGTGGCCGAGTGGTCTAAGGCGCTGGTTTTAGGCACCAGTCTCGAAAGAGGCGTGGGTTCGAATCCCACCGCTGCCATTTTAGTTTGTTTCTTTTGCTTCAGTTCAACAGTATTCTGCATGTGGTACCTTTGATATAACTTCCGTTCATTTAGCTTACTTTTGTTATGGCATGAAAGACATGTGATAATTATATAATTGACCTCGCTCGTCAAAGCTCAAGGCAGAGTCCATAATGACTCCGAAAACCTTCGCAGAGTTCACAGGCCAAATTTATTTTCCGATAACAGAAACTTGAAAGCTGGTGCACGTTTTAAGAAGCAGTAGCTTAGTCCTGTCAGGGTTGATGAGAAGACAATTCCAACTGTAACATGTCGCAATATTTTTCAGGTCTTCGGTAAGCCGTGTTGCAGCAGTATTTGAAAATTGTGAATTCTCTTTTTGACTATAATTTGTAGCAGCCGTCTACCGATTATAGCCAGTCAGCCAGAAAAATGCTGTAAGCTGCGAGTATTTTTAAATGTGTGGGTGGAGGGGAGGATGGGGGTATTTCTTGGTGGTGTTCACACAGGTAGCCCAAGCTTGGTTTCTGTGATGTCCTGTTATAAGGAAATGTATGGAGATTCATTAAAAATTTCAATAAAATCATCTAAATGTGAAATAAAGCCTCGAAATTTTACCCGATCATTGAGAAATAACACTTCTTTCGCTCTGCGTGGTTATTTTTTGAAATTAGCCCGTTTTCCCCCACCAGTAAGAATTTACTGGTGGGGAAAAAAAACTTAAAACGGGCTAATTTCAAAAAACAACCACGCAGAGCGAAAGAAGTGTTATTTCTCAATGATCGGGTAAAATTTCGAGGCTTTATTTCACATTTAGATGATTTTATTGAAATCTTTGATGAATCCCCATACATTTCCTTATAACAGAACACCACAGAAACAAAGCTTGGGCTACCTGTGGTGTTCAGGAGCGACAGATGACAAAGGAAAAAATTGTAACGAAATCATAGCCGAAAGTGGAAAAAGAAGGATAAAATTAATAAATTAAAACTCCAGTTGAATGAATGCTCTTAAAGCCCGTGCAAACAAACGCAACATGGTTTGCCAACAAAATCTAACATTGTTGGGCCTATGTTGCGTGTTTTTGGGACTTGTTGGACGTTAATTTTCATTGTTGGATGAAGTTTGATGAAACTCATCAAACTTTTGATTCAACAAGTCCCTACATTTGTTTTGTTTCGCAGTCATCGAAGCGTAGCCCAACAATGTTGCGTTCGTATGAACAGCACGTACACCAAAGTTCGCTGACGCACGCCGTAATCATGGGTATTTCAAACAAACAAACAAACGCAAAGCACACGAGTTGAACTGGAAAGGCCATCATTTTCGTCATGCTGTCAGAGCCAAAAATTCATGACGAATCAATGGCTGATGTGGAATATACAATAACAAATGTATTCTTTTTCACGACAAGCTTTCGAGTTACTGTTTTCTCTAAGGACTTCATTTAGAACCATAACTAATATGTATTTTTGTTTTTTCTCGTTGTACGGCCATATGATAAGTTCAAGCAAAATGTCGGATAAACAAAAAGTGGGTTTGTAAGGTATTGTGGGTATATTGTTTCCCAGAATCCTTTGCATTGTCATTGTAATGCCCAACAAGTGGCAACTAGTTGGGACCGTTTGAACACAATCGCCAACGTCACCCAACAACTGCCAATAATGCTGGGTGTTTTTGCACTCGTTTGCACGGGCCCTTAACTAGAGAGTTCATGATCTTGTTCGATTTACGAAGCATTAGAAACTAAACGAAATTGTTTTAACTGCACTCTAAAATGAACCGACTCATTTTAACTTCATCAATACAAATATACCTGTTTTAATTACTACGTTTTACAAGCTGGTTATGTCTGTGACAGAAAATGTTCTATATGAAACAGCAGGGGATCGACATTTTATAATATCGTCTTACACTCAAATTCGAATACAATAGGATCGCCCTCATTTTGTCGTTCAGTATGAATATATTCACTAGTATAAGCAAAACAGATGGTGTATTTTGAATCGCTCTTAATAGCAGAAAGACGGATTAAAATGGCCGAGAATACATCGAATGTTTCCGATAGAAAAATCAATAAAGAGGACTTCTCCTGGCGAGCTGGTTGGGTGGACGGAGTAATTGCTTTGATAACGGTGCTTGGTAATATGCTGGTCATTCTACTTATCCTTACACGTGCTTCTCTTCGTACAAAGCAGAACTGGTTTGTTCTTTCCCTGGCAGTGGCYGATTTTCTTGTCGCCGCAATAGTTTTCCCTTTACGTTTAGCTATAGGTTATTTGTATTTCGGAAAAACAAAGCTTTTCATTGATGCTACTCACGACTTTCTTCTTTATGCCTCGACTTTGAATCTTAGTGCTTTAACTTTGGATCGATACCTCTACATTGTGCATCCTATGAAGTATCTGTGCTGGAAAAGAAAGACCAACTTGATCAAGACGTCACTGGTTGCCTGGATTGTAGCATTTTTCATTCCCCACATACGTCTGTTAATAAATCTCTATGTTGAAAATACTGAAGTAGAAAAGAACTTCATTTTGTTTTTACTTTGTTTTGAAACTGTTCCTTGCCTATGTTTACCCACTGCGTATTTGCACATCTTATACTTTGTTCGTCGGCAAAAAGCACAAATGAAAATGCAGATGAGACAAGTGCAACATAACTACGTCGTTACAGAAAATCCTGAAAAATATCAAACGAGTAAAAGATCGAAAATCCTTGTGCTTGGGGAAGTCATTGGTTTTTTTGTCCTCTCAAACGTAGTCCACATTACGCGTGCATGGCTAAAATATCTACTTAGCACTCCAATATTCAACAAAACATTCAGCAGAACTTCATATTTCCTGATTCATGCCAATTCTGCCATCAACGTTTTTGTGTACGGACTCTTTAAGGAAGACTTTCGTAGAGAGATGAAAAGAGTATTTTGTAAACGTACTTCTCCTCCCTCAATCTCGCAGCCGGCTGCTGCTGCTCATATTGAACTACAATAAGGCTTTAGAAGAAAGAAATATTTAAATATCTAAGGGACAAAAACTGAACGTTATTTGTTTAGACCTTTAGCAACACACTAAGATGACAATGATCGGTTATATGAAATGGGAAATCATTTAGGCGTTTGAATGATTGGGGTAATTGGCGTCACTTTTGCGCGCAAAAATACCTTTATTTTCCTTGGAATGATTGAGGCAACGCTGCAGTAAAACTTCATTACAAGTTCTTTGGGGTTGAAGAGAAGCTGCAAGCGGCATTGATTGAAGTCAGCCTCAGTACAAACTTTTAGCTTTATTAAATTGCTTCTTAATTGATTCCCATTATAAAATTCATTGGACCTAAAATTAAGATGTAATAATTTCTTTTTACTTTAACTAAACAAATATTTGACTTCCAATAGTAGATTAAATATAGAATATTCAGGCTTGCGTCTGTCACGTCAAGTGAACATATCTTATTATCTTAATAAAGAGAAATAACCCGTAATGTATATGAAAGAATCCACCGGTTTTTTTAAATAGTTTTTTGCCTGTGCTTTTTCTTGTTTCCAATGTAGCACTGACCATCCCTAATAAAGACAAAAAACGCTCAAGGGGGAAAAACATGACAAAACACATAA